ATTCTACGCCATCGTGAGAGCTCTGGAACACTAGAGTCATTACATGTTGACAAACGAGTTTACACTATTTACATATCATGAGGCCCTAAAATTCTTCAACGGTTAGCAAACTAAAGGGACAACACGCCACTTGAGTGGAATTTCTAGCATCTTTCCAGTTTGTGCTAAAACACAAGGCGAGAAGCTAGAACCGCGTAGCAGATGCACTGAGTCGTCGACACCTATTGATAACATCCTGGCATGCTCAAGTTGTGGGCTTCGAAGTCATAAAGGATTTATACGAAACTGATGAAGACTTCAATAATATATGGGAGCAATGTCAGAAGAAGTTGACAAGGCAATATTACCACACTGATGGATACCTCTTCCACTAGAGTCATTTGCGCTACCCCGTTGTTCACTAAGTGAGGTCATTATTCAGGAAAGCCACAACGAAAGACTAGTAGGACATTTCGACAGAGACAAAACTCTCGCCCTTGTAAGAGAATATTTTTTTGGCCAAAAATAACAAGAGATGTAAAACAACATGTCAAGCAATGCAAAATTTGTCATCAGACCAAGAAAATAGCTCAGAACGTCAGATTATACACACCACTTCTAGTACCATAGGTGTCGTGGGTGGATGTCGGCATGAATTTCGTAATAGGACTTCCAAGGACTCAAAGGAACAAAGATTAGTAGACAGATTCTTCAAGATGACCCACTTTGTACTATGTCACCAGACACTATATGTCTCTCACTAGGACTTCCAAGGACTCAAAGGAACAAGGATTAGTAGACAGATTCTTTGTACTATGTCACCAGACACTATATGTCTCTCACATCGCCGATCTATACTTTGGGGACATTGTAAGACCGCATGAGATTCCCAAGGCCATCACCTCTGACGGAGAAGTCAAATTCTTGAGCCACTTTTGGAGGACATTATGGGAAAAGCTCGGCACCAAACTCCAATTCAGCTCACAAACAGGCGGACAAATAGAGGTAGTAAACTGAAGCCTCAGTAATATCCTGAGGTGTTTCGTGGAGAAAAAAAAAACAACAAACAGTGGGATCTCATCCCAGCCCAAGATGAGTATGCCTATAACCGATCCATCAACTAAACTACAGAACAAACTCACTCGAGCTGTGTACGAGCGCAATCTGCTAATGCCACTTGAACTGGTACCGCTCCTGCCATCTTCAGAAATCAACAAGGATGCCACAGAATGAGTTCACGAGATCCTGAAGCTTCACGAAGAGGTTAGCATGGAGATTGTTAAGCAAAATCGAAAATACCAGACGGACGAATAAATCTAGGAAGATTATAACATTTCAGGAAGGCGACCTCGTATGGATTCGATTAAGAAAAGAGAGGTTTCTCGCACAATCGTACAAGAAAATTTAGTCGAGAGCAATTAGACCTTTCAAAATGCTTCAAAAGATGAACGACAACAGCTATAAGATCGACCTCCCTGGGGATTACAACATTTCAACAACGTTCAACGTCGTCGACTTAACTCAATACTTTCAGGAGCCTAGAACTTCGACAAACAAGGTCGATGTTTGTCGAAGCTTCCCCAACCCTGGGAGACTAACGTGGAATGGGGGCGATCCCGCTATACAGAACCACAATTCTTTGTGAGAGCCCGCGATCACGCGTGAAGAGAGGAATGACGGCGAACCTTCAAGAACCGATATTTGGGTTTTCCAAAAAATCTTCCGCACTGTCTTCTTCTAAGTGTTTTTTTTCTAGATTATTCTTTTCTTTTCCAACCCTTCTTTTTGTGTAGAAGTAGAAGGCTATAAATAGCTATCTCCTAAGTGTGTGGGAGTCAGTTCTCTTAGAGTTGTCTTTTAATCTCCTGTGTGAAGTCTCTTCCCTCTTGTTAGGGTTGTAATCGATGACAGCTGGTGCTTCAGCTGTATCCTGTTCTGAGGTGGTGTTGTAAACTTCAAACTTCTTCGCTACTTCAGTGCAAGAAGAGAGTTTCGAAGGCCTTTGTATGTCACGATCACTAGGAGGGTAAGGAGGAGAAAGATGGGAGTTTCGGAGTTCTGTGTATGCTGCGATCACCGGGAGCGTAAGGAGGAGAAGGATGGGAGTTTTGAAGGTCTGTGTACATCGCGATCACCAAGAGCAAAGGAACAAGATTATGGGATTTTCAGAGGCTTGTATATAATTTCTCGTGAACGGATGGATCGACGAAGGGGAATGATGGATCGAAACAGAGTTCGATTTCGGTAAAATGAGAATTTATGGGTTTCTTTTGGGTAATATTACAATATTGGGTTTCATATATGTAATATTTAAAGTTTAAAGTTCCATGGATGTAAAAAAACCAAAAGGAAATCATTACCAGATAGCAGTTTTTTCTGTAATAACAGAAAAAAATAATAATAAATAAATAAATAGGCGTTGGCAGTTAGAAAAGACTCACCCTCTCGAATGAGACTTATTTCACTCTATTTCGACAATTCTCCCTCATTCAAATGAAAGAAACAGAGAGATTGAGAGAGGGAAAGATCATTTGTGCCCTAGCCGAGGAAGGAAGTGGGAGAAGAAACTTGTGCACACTGAGTGGGATTGCGTCAAAACCCAAGGAGGAAGGAGGTAATAGAGGAGCAAACATTGCTTGTGTGCGGAAGATTAGCCAAGCAGTGCCTTAGTCAAATGGCTTCGACACTGTGTTCGGGTGTAGAGGAAGAGGAATGGCTTTGTGAGAAGGTGCGAGTAGAGGAGCAGGGGCTTCGACACTGCTTTTTGTGTTCAGGTGTGTCAAACCTTAGTTGAAGGGAGATCAAAGGAAGGAGGGGACGTTGTGCATGTGTGGTGATCTGGGTTGAGCTGCAGCCAAAGAGAAGGATGAAAGGAAGCAAGTGATCCTTGTGTGCGGCTCTTGATCAAGCGAGACCGAAGAAGGTGAGGGAAGAAAGATAGTGTGCGGGAAGAAAGGAAGTGAAGCCTTTCGTGCATGTTAGCACTATAAGACCGAAACTTATATATAAGTCATTCAAAATTTTTTAAATTTTTATTACATAAATTTAATTTATTAAATAGGCTATGATATTAACAATTAAAATTTATGAATTTAAAACAGGCATTATTAGAAGATTGTGCAAGGACTATCAAGTCAAACAATAATTGTGCAAGGACTATCAAGTCAAACAATAAATGGTAAGGTGAGTTTAAGTTATATTAATTTAATTAATGAATTTTATTTGAATATTTAAGTTTATTCATTAAATGTTAACAGTAAATGTAATTGTAATCGGAAATACTTGAGATAAGGAATTTATTGTTTTTGAGATTTAAGGGAGAAGAGAAGCCTTGTGCAAGGAAGCAAACCAGATTTTAAGGTAAGGAATTGCACTATGGTTTTTAGGTATCAATTTAATTATATGTCATTAGATATATGTAAGACTTTCTTTTAAAATGAGGTCCCTAAAATTATATGCACGTTTAATTGATTTAGGTGTTAGTTAACGGAAGTGAAGTGAAGTCATAGATATTTCAGAGATCTCTTGAAAGCAATGTGAGTGATTATTTTCTTTTATGCATTAAATTAATATTATATTAAATAAATAATCACTTTATTAAATTGCTTAAAACAAATATTTCATTCATGCATTGTATTTTAAAAGTTTTAAATGGTGTCACAAATCGAAGAAAAATAACGAACATATGATGTGCATTTTAAATGATTTTAAATTCATACGAAATAAAAAAGTAAAGGTTTGAGTCATACAGGATTACCCCCAAATGGTACTGTTAGGAAATACGATGTACCCGTGCAGGTTAAAGGAAATGGTAAAGGTGTACTTTTGGGTGCAATTTGAAGGTACATATATTTTTTAGAATATATTCGGGTATATTTTTTAGGGTACATTTTTTAGGATACAGTTGAGTATTACAATAATCCTATTATGACTTATAAAGAGGTTAAAATGACAAATACTTAAAGTGAAATGAGAAGAAATAAATTTAATATGGAAGTTCAAAGTTTTAGAAATGAACTCTATTTTATTTTGGTCATTCATGCATAGCATTAGCTAATGCATATTAAACTATAATTACTCACTAAGTCAAACTTACAGTTAAAATTAATGTTTTCTTTCAGGGAAAAAAAATCATAGGTTGTTATGTCTGGCAGGCGGGTTTTAGTTTACAGGAGGAGGACCATTGCTGCTAGATATTATGCTTGTAGCTTCTTTGTACTATTTTTCTTTCATATTATGATTATATTGTTTAGTGTTGGTTAGAAAATTTATCCACATATTAAGTGATTTCTGGATGTTCTAAGTTTTGTATATTGCACTTTGTGGATGATTAGTGGCTCATTGGGAGTTTTCTAAAAATTATGTGGAATGAAATGGAAATTTGAATCCAAACTATTAGGCCGAGTCATGACATTTTCCCACAGAATATTTCACCAAACACTCTTAAAATATTCTCAAGACTTGAAAGTGACAATTAGTTTTGGGTCACCATCAAGGACAACAAAAGTACGCAAGGAATCATCATTAAGAACAAAGTTAATAGTAGCTTGACTCCATTAACTTCAAAAATATAACAAGAAAATCTTATCACATTGCTTAGTCAAGTCATTTGATGAAATTATAATTTTCACTCGGATAATTCAGATCATATACTTATCTAAGTTTACTCCAAAAGTTATGGTGGTGAATTTTTTCTTGAAATGTAAATGAAACAGTCTGTAATTAGGTTTTTCAAACAACGGAGACTTCTGCAAAAGAACCTTGAACAGAGCATAGGTCAAATGGAGGTAAGGGATGTTATTTAACATGTATTAATATTCCCCCTTCAATATTTGACAAGGGACTTTGTTAAACCTGAGACTTCAGATATTGGAGAGAACTGTAAAAAAAACTATCAACCCAACTATCCTAGAAGTATTTTTAATTCACATAAACAAGTATATAAGAAAAGAATTAGTAGGTTGATTTGATTTGATAAGCACTTATTTAAAGTAAAAGGAGCGGTTGAGAGAAACACTTACAGTTCTATGACTGGCCTGAGAAAAGGAGCAACTTTTTCAAGGCCTTCAAGATTTGCAAGGGATTGCACAAAAGTAATGGGGATCATGTAAAAGAACACCAGAGAAAATACAGCTATCGTGATGATTAGCCTTCGGATGCTGAGAGAAACAAAAGGTATTGCAAGATTCTTCCAGTAGACATCACGTGGTTCAGGTGCCCATTCAGTTAACCAAAGTGTTGGATTCTTGCTTTGTTGTGTCTGCGCACACACTGCTGCTCCCCATCTGGACCCAAATGTGACAAAAGCAACTGGCAGAATAGCTTTGGGATCTTTAAAAATTTTCTGATGCTCTGATGCTATCTGTAACATTGGCACTGTTGATTACAGGAACATATATCATAGTAAATAATAAACATGGAATATAAACATCAATGCAGGAAATTTATTTTGATGCATAAAATCAAGGGTATCAGCATGGAATCAAGTATATAAGATATCTTTAGTTTCAGATAAGGCATCCTAGTTGAATTCTCATCAGCTTTATTTCAATCAATTGGGATCAACTTCATAAATTTTCATTCTCTATTTGTTCCTCGTTGACTGTTGCATAAGTTGTTATATATGCTTTGCACATTTAGTAACTGCAAGATTTTTTGTACATTTAGGTACTGCAATATTTTTATTGTATAAAATCAAGGGTATGAACATAGAGTCAAGAAAATAACATCTTACATCCAAGATCAGCTATCTACACTATGTGGTGATGTAAAATTTTAGGAGGTGGACGCCAAGAATCACAGCAATTACAAGAGTGAAACAAAATGACAAATAAATGCAATGTAGAAACAAAAACTATATCTTCTTACTCTTCTGTCAAGTGCATTGATCCTTCGCCTATAATAATCAATTGAATCTACTCTGTGACCATAAAGGCCAAGAAAGCCAATCTGGAAAAAGAAATAGAAGGATTCATCAAATACTGAAGAGATGCACTTTTATATGTAATTTAAAAAGCAACTCGGACTAATTCAGAAGCTATAGGATTCTGATCATTTAGAATTATGGACCAGTAATATATATAAAACATACCTTTCTGGTTGGCCGTTTATCTGGATTTCGTTCAAATTTGAGCTGGTAATAATCCAGCCAGTTTTGCAGCCTTCCCTTTTGCCTCACAAGTTTAGCGAATTTGTTTGCATTGTAAACAGCCTGAAGATTATAAAAAATGGTTACAGAAAAGTCCGGGTTAAGCAAAAAATTGAATTGAAGACAAATAAAAGCAAAGTTCATCACAATAAAACTGCTGACAATACTACCATGGCATTTAGGAGATTCAGGAGGTCAAAAATGAAATTACTTCAGAGGAATCTTAATTACCTGGTGACTCAGGTAGTGGTCAGGATGATTCTTCCGAAAGAAATGATCCACACTCTCTGCAATGGAATGACCTGAGATTTGAGGAACATTTCTGACAACTACCTGAAGAAAGCACCAGCATCCAAAAACATGGGAGAAGGTAAAAAACTCTATCCTGAAGCAATGGCGAGCTCCATTACATTAAGGAAAAAAAATTAATACTAATCATCATGCCAAATAGGTGCAGCGGAAACTTCTGGAGAGAAATAGACAATAGATCGATTTTTTAAGACTTTCCAAGTGAAACTTGAAAAGTTTTCATAGATTGAGTGCCTTTTGCCACTGCCACTCTACAATGAGCATTAAATGAAATAACCCCAATATCCGCTTTGATTCGATTAAAAATTTTATAATAATGAATAAGGAATTAATAAAAGCCCAGTGAAACTCTATTACTATCTAAATTTAAGTTGTCAACAGGTACTTACAGTGAATTGCTCCACACGACGGTGTTGTGATGCCAAGAAATGCAAGCGCATAAAAGCTACATTATCATATTCCGTGTAAAGCATATAGGAAGTCCATAAGGTGAATATGTACGCCATGCTGAGGTGAACCCAAAACCTAAAACACGACAACACAATCATAACAGTGAAACACAAGATTTCCCCCCTCATAGGGAAAAGAAAGGTATATTTAAATTCTGCATTATTGCCAATGTTGTCTAACTTCTCACTATTATCAATTCAAATGACAAAATGTCGAAATAGTGCCTGACTTTTGCAGATGGATATTTTAGTCCCACGGTCTATAAAAGTGTCAATTTAGTCTCTAGACTCTTTTAATATTAGTCCACGCAGAGGAATATATTGGGCCCAATTTAAAGTCTGAAAATTAATTTGGCAATTTTATACCCTTGGATTAAAATGGCCTCATCTAAACCATCAGAGTACTATTTTGACAATTTACTACAGTTAAAACCTTACAAACACCTAAACAACTAGATAAGCAACAAGCATGATACTTTGCAGCACTTTTTCCAAATGAAGTTACTAAACCCTACAAGAAAAACATTAGTCACCTTTCAGATCCTGGTTTGACATTTGAAATGGAGAGCTTATCAATGTCACTGAAAAGAACATCTTTCTTGAGATCGTGTAATGTTTCACTGGATACATTGACTGGTATTATAACCAATAGTGCGGCGATTGTCAAAGGCACAAAGACCTTTAAGCTGTAGAAAAAAACCATGAAGAGTAATAGTAGATAATTCTACAAAAAAATTCAGAAGTGTAAATAACTAGTGCAGCGGGTGGAAGAAATAACAAGATCACTTATGATTTACTAAGAAAAAGAAGTTCAAGTCACCACTCCATGCTTCAACAAGTTTCTACTATTACTCTAATTCTGGAACTCATTAATAAAGTAGATCAACCAAAACATCGAACTGTTTAAGAAAAAGGTGCTCGATAAAATATATGATCAGAAATTGTATTATATACAATTTACTACAATTCAACATCTTATAAAAAGATTTTCTCCTAACTTCAATTTTGTAGATGATGGCATGCAGCGATTCATGTATTAAAATTTACTTATTTCAGCAAAACTTACAATCAAATTGATAACTCGACGAGACGAACCCAATGATATCAAAATCAATCTAAGCTCAATCAAGCACGAATCAAGCCATTAAATTACTTTTGGAGGCTTCGGATGATTAATTGAATAGTCAAACAAACTTCAAATTGGACATGTTTATAATCAAATTGAGCGTCTCAACGAGAGCAATTCAATGTGCACAAGATCACTTGATTTTGAGGTCACTAAGACCCTCAAATCATCAAAAAATCTAAATAATTAAGAGGAACCAACTTGGACCGTCTGATCATATGGTTACGGGAGTTACTGGCCAAATGATCAAAATGCCCTTCCTCATGGGCCTATAGATAGCCCCCTCTTAACTTGGGAGAGGGGTAGGAGGAGAGGGGATTAATTTGAGTGATATTTTGGGCTTAAAACCTGGCGATAAAATTCAGCCTTCGTAGCTGCCGACCACAGTCGATCATAGGCCACCATCAACCCCCGCAGGGGGGGGCTGCTTACCATAGTTGGCGGACTTTGTTGGGTAACGAAGTACTCTATTGAGTAATGAAGGACTATGTTGAGTAAGAAAGTATTTTATTGAGTAATGAAGAACTCTACTAAGTCACAAAGTATCTCAAATATTATGTAACAACATACCTAGCACATGATACATTAAAGACGCAGCGATAACCCCCAATGAGAACTGCTCTCAAGAGTTGTATTTGAAACACAATGAATCATTCTATATGCTACGTATTGACAAATATTATATTTGGTGTGACACTGTAACCCTTTCTCAGTTGTGGGATAAGGGTTCATTTTTGTACTTGGAAACTTATAATAGATCATTTTGACTGGGGCTAGGCCCCATAGTTTTTTCTCTTTCTGGGTTTTTCATGTAAAAATTCCTAGTGTATTCCTTTGTTACTATCACATTATCTATAATTGTGTTAAATTTACGCACAACACTGAAACAGTAAATTATTACTTTACTACCACGATTTTTTTGGCAGATTGATAACTATGAGTGTTAATAAATAAAAGCTACAAAATTTTTTATCTTTCCACTAGAATTACAACTCATATAGCTCCAAATGTACCTAAATTACAATTATTGGTATGATTATAATAGCATCAATGAAACTAGAAAAACCTCAGCCTTAAGGAATAAAAAAAAAGTAAGAAGATGATCTCGCTTGTTAAAAGTTTCCCCATTTTCATAAACGTTACAGGGTGCCAAAAGATATGGAATTCTAGTCTTTCATGACATTACTATGAGCAAAAAAACCATAAATATTAAGAAGCCCTTGAAAGTTGCTATTGTTTTGCTTTCGAATGTGTTCCCATAAGCTTTGTTTTGTTGGTCTGCACAGTTTCATCGGTTCAATGCATAGCTTAGATTATATTTATTTTCATTAAAATTTTAAAAATATATAAAAATTTCGTCATTGCGACCATCTGAACTCTCACCATCAAGAAATTATCCGCGTTGGCCTAATAATCTCACCTTTTTGCCCAGTTTATGTAACTTCCTAGGAGATTATCCATCCTAAGAGTGTTCCGGCACAAGCACGCTTAACTTTGGAGTTTTTAATGAAATTCCACTGTTAACCCAAAAGGCACCTCAATGTCTAAGAGCTTGGCTTCATTTTACTTAAGGGTTTTCACAAGCTCGATCACTCAAGTATATGATATCCCCGTCAGTGATCTTAGCCCAGAATTATCCATCAGACAGATATTTATATCTTTAGCTTGGAGTAAGGCTCTAAAACCATTTGTGACATCCTTAACTCTCAACCATCAAGGTATTATCCGTCTTGGTCTAATAGCCTCATGATTTTGGTGTAACTTCCCATAAGGTCACCCATCCTAGCATTTCTCCAAGACGAGCACGCTTAACTTTGCATTTTATAATGAAATTTTATCATTATACCAAAAGACGTCTCGATGTTTAAGAGTTCAGATTCATTCGACTGAGGGAGTTTCACAACATCGTCATCAACACTTTATACCAATAATCAGCCACCAAGCATATATGACACTAGAGGTGGCCCCTACAGATTCAAGAGGTGGCTCCTACCATGTAGCACTTTGTCCCATTCAGGGTTCAAGAGGTGGCTACCATAGCATAGCACTTTGTTCTATATTACACTTAGTTTCAATCTTCCGGCTGGTGTAATGCTCTGATAAAATTAATGATAACTCGATCTCTCACCAATCAAAGTATTGTCCGCTTTGGCCTAATGACCTCACAGTTTTGTCCTGTTGGTGTAACTTTCCTAGAGGTCACTCATCCTGGGAGTGACTCAGCACGAGCATGCTTAGATTTGGAGTTTCTAATAAAATTTCACTGTTACCCTAAAAGGCGTCTTCATGTTTAAAAGTTCAGCTTCATTTTACATAAAATGTTTCAGATCTTTCTCACTCAAGTATCTAGCATTCCCATAAGTAATCTTAACCCAAACTCATCCACCAAGCAAATTTCTATCTTCAGGCTAGTGCAATGATTTGATACCATATGTGACAACCCGAACTCTCACACATTGAGGTATTGTCCGCTTTGGCCTAATAACTTCACAGCTTTGCCCTATTAGTATAACTTATCAGAAGGTCACCCATCCTAATAATGCTCCAACACAAGCACGCTTAACTTTGGAATTTTTAATGAAATTCTATCATTGCACCAAAAGAAGCCTCAATAAGAGTTTGGGTTCAATCTACTTAAGAAGTTTCACAATATCCCTCAATCAAGTAACTGGCGTCCTCGTCAGTACTTTATACCTGGAATCATCCACCATGCAGATGACTCTAGAGATGGTCCTTATAGATTCAAGAGGTGGTACCCATCATTTAGCATTTTATCTCATCCAGATTCAGGAGGTGGGTACCATAACATATTATTTTATTCTGCATGACAATCAATTTTATCTTCCAACTTGTATAATGCTCTCATACCATATGTGATAGCCCGAACTCTCACCCATCAAGGTATTGTCCGTTTTAGCCCAATAACTTCACAAATTTGCTTTGTTGGTGTAACTTCTAAAGAGATCACCCATCCTAGGAGTGCTCCAACACAAGGGCACTTAACTTTAGGGTTTCCAATGAAATTCTACCGTTATCTCAAAATGTGTCTCATTGTTTAAGAGTTCAATTTCATTTTGCTAAAAGGGTTTCACAATTTCTCTCACGAAGTATTTGATGTCCCCATTGATGATATTAGCCCGGAATCATCTACTTGGCAGATGTTTCTATCTTAAGGTTGATGAACTGCTCTAACACTAGAGCTGTGAACTTAGCTTGAAAATCGTTAATTGCTTAAAAATTGATTTGAATTTTGGCTCGAATCAAGATCAAATCGAAGTAAATGAGCCGAGCTACGAGCCAAAATTTTGGACTTAAATTTTTTCTAGCTAATTTTGAGCCGACCCCGGCTCGGCTCAAAATCAGATCGTTAACATACCTAATGATGTTAGAGATATGAATTTAACGACTTTGGCTCGAAGAACATTAATAGCTCAAATATTGATTTGAACTTTAGCTCGAATCAAAATTAGATCGAAATAAACGAGCTGAGCTACGAGCCAAATTTTTTAATCAAATTTTTTCGAGGTGATTATGAGTCGTCCCTAGCTCAGCTCAAAATCAGATTGTTAACAGCCCTTTGTGCAACATTTGTGGTAGCCTGAACTCTCAACCATTGAGGTTTGTCTTAATTTGCATAATGGTCTCATAGTTTTGCCCAGTTGGTGTAACTTCCGTTACCAATCCTAGAAGTCTAGCACGTTTGAAAGTTCTAATAAAATTTCACCCTTACACAAAAAGGAACCTTCATGTTTAAGAATTTGGTTTCAATATACTCAAGTTTTAAGTGTTCGGTTTCAATCTAAAGTACTTAAAGGGATCGAAATAGAACTCAGACGAAACTGACCGAAACGTAATATTTTAGACTTAGTACAAACCCAAGAATGTAAATCCGGAGATAGATAGCGGAATCGAGGCCGGCGTGCTGAATGACCTCCGTCTGGCTCATCTTAAGCGCCTCCGGCATCCAGCTCAAGAAGCTGACGACGTAGCTCCAGATGTTGAAATTGACAAATCGGAGGACCCCATTCATGGACCCTCGAGGCGAACCCCTCGAGCCATTTATGTACAACTTCGGGTAGTAAACTCTAGAGTTAATGGGCTGAACTCTCAGCACAGCGAAAGCGAGGAGGAAGCCGATGGCGCTCAAAATGTTGATGAAGGCGGAAACTGCTATGTCCTCCAAGGAAGCCATCAGATGCCGATCATATGGAAAGGAGAAAGTAAACAGCAGACAGGAGAGGAAAGTGGGTAAGGAGAGATGGATGGGGAGTGCTCGATACGTGAAAAATGGAAAGGAAAAAGTGGGAGAGGAGGGAGGGATGGGGGGTGCTCGATGTGTGAAAAAGTGAATGGAAAGAGTATTAAGTGGTCAGTACGGGACAAAGAAAGCTGTGATATTTAGATAAAATAGAGATGATGGGAATATATGCCAGCAGTGATGGTTTTGTGTTCTTTACACTCAGAGGTAGTGTGGCCGTTACAAAACTTGGCGTGCCCGGTTTTCCAAACTGGAAGGTCTAAAAAGGCCAAATTATAAAAAGTGGCTTGTTGATTGATACGTCTTAACAAATTTTTACCCTCTATCACGAATCTCGAGATATCATATGAATTTTAATATGATATTTTGAGAAAAAAATATTCAAATCTTGATAAAATAGCATTCAAAGTTTTGATTTCAACGAACATGTAGTCAAACTGACTGGCTCAATGAGACGGATCTAATGATATCAAAATTAGTTTAATCTGAGTCAAATCAAAAAAAAAAATCATTAAATCACACTTGGAAGATTTTCAGACACATTTAGATGATCAAACGGATGTCAAATATAGCAAGTTCATAGTCGAATCGAGCGTCTTAACAAAACGAATCCAACGAATCCAAGTTCACTTAATTCTGAAATCATTAAGGCATCCAAATATTCATTAAATATCATTTGATTGAAGGAAGCTCTCCGGATCATCTGATCAAAATGGTTCATATTCATATAAATAATTGCACCCAGAGCACTACAAATAAAGTTTCACCTCTCTCATGAGATGAGAGCTTGAGCCTTGAGAGAGAACTTGAGGTTTTGAGAAGAAGCTGAATTCCTAGACCAACGTTAACTATCGTTGACCACCGTTAATCATTATCGACCATCGTCGACCACCTCTGATCGTCGTTGGTCATTGTTAACCATCGTCGACCACCACTGATTGTTGTCAACCACCGCCAACCGTCGTTGACCGCCGCTGAACACCGACCAACAGTCATCGACCACTGTCGACCACCATTGACAACAGTCTATCGTCGTCGAGCACCACTAATTAGACGCCATCGGTCTACATTGTCATTGACAACAGCCTATCGTCGTTGAGCACCACTAATTAGACGCCATCGGTCTACATTGTAACTTGGAAAATATATTAATCATTTCACGTCTGTGGGACAAGGGATTTATGTGATGATCAATAAATAGTGGATTTTTTGTAATTGGGTCAGGTCCAGTGGTTTATTTCCTTTATGAGTTTTCCACGTAAAAAACTTATGGTATCATCACTTATTGTTTTTCTTTCATCTGAGTATGTTCTAAATTCTCGTGCAACGCTAAGACGATAAATCAATTACTCTACCGCTATGAATCTTCTAGCGCGCATCAATGATTACCCTTATTAATATAACAATCATGTAATTTTCTTAAAAAAAAAAAAGAAGTATATGCACTTGCCACCTCTTCAATTCGCTCCTCGAGCTCTCTTCCCTCTTGCTCTCTTGCTCTTGCTCTCTTCCTTATCCTTATCTTTCTTCTCCTTCTCTTTTAGGTAATACTATTCTCTTAATTTTTTGAAGTAGTTATCATATTAGTTTAGTTTTATTATTTATGTATTCTTTTCACTTTTAATTATACTTCTATGTTGCTTTTTTAAAAATATTTTTTTTTTGTGAAATACTGAAATACTGCCTATTTTTTAAATATTTTTTATAGAATTTTTTAACATTTTAAGTGAAATACCCAAATACTGCGTATTTTTTAAATATTTTTTATAGAATTTTTTAACATTTTAAATTTAGTAATTTTCTAAATTCAATGAAATATTTTGATTGTGTTGAAATATTTCATTGTTGTCATTATTTTTCTATGAATTATTAATTACATGTCGAAATATTATTAGAAAATTATTTAAGTTATATGTGTCAAGTTAAAATGATGATCGTATCATCAAGATCTTGTCTTCCACTTCATCGATAGCAAACTGCGAATAATAATTTTTATATTAAATTTATTTAAATCTAAATAGAGTTTATTTATGTTTTTTTTTTCTTGCAATACTTCTTATTATGAGAAAACTATAGAATAATATTGAGGTTATATGTACATGAAATATAGTATTTTTGAAGCTATAAAGAACTTTGTCAAAAATGCATATATTGTCTAAGGAGAGCTTGGGACCGCCCCTCCTCACCTAGAAGTTCTTATAGATATGAGTGCATTTTTTTCATTGCAAATACCAATAAGTAGCATTATATATTTTGCAATCATTATTATTTGTTGTTATAATTGAAGTAGTTTTAACTAGGTTTAAGTAAATGTCAATTAAAATGTTAATATTATATGAGTTTATATACAACCTAGAAACCCGACGACACAAAGCTACTGGTTTAAAGGAGGATGAAATAATATCTCGATTGTTTGATGCAATAATGACCTATATTGATCTTATAGAATTTTTAACACTTAAAATTTAGTAATTCTCTAAACTTTTTAAATTGTTTCGACTATATTGAAATATTTTATTATTGTCGTTAATTTTTATGAATTATTAATTACATATCAGAACAGTTAGAACTTTATATTGCCGATGGTATAATAATTAGCACATTGTATTACATTGAAACGTAAATGAAATATGAAATAAGTTGAAAATAATTACTTTTTTATGTGAAAACAAGCACAAAAAAGTGTTTAGATTAGGGTTATATGTATATGGAATGTAGTGCTTATGAAGCGACAATGAACTTTGTCTAAAAGACCTGAACTGCCAAAGGAGAGCTTAGGATGTAAGTGGCCTTTGTACCCCCCTCCTTATTTGGAAGTTTTTATAGTTATGAATGCATTACTTTTCATTGCATATTCCAGAATAATTAGCATTTAATGGTGTCTTTTAATTTTGTTGTTATGGTTGAAGTTTTAATTATGCTCAAGTAAATTTTAGCCCTTATATTTAGATAAAATCAACTTTAGGATAAGACCTAATTTTTAAGTATGAGTATGAATATGTCTTACTTGTTGATATGTTGTTGGTGAGCTTAGATTTGTAGAAGAATTCACTCCACCTATGTTGGTAGATGTAATCGTCTTGTTCAAGTCCCACAGTTCATAACACTAGATGAATTAAAGAGGAAAATATTTTGTTTACTGTATAAGGATAATACAAAATTATTATCTCACTTTAAAACTAAACACACTAATTTTTTTAATTACATTAAACTTGTTATTATAAATACAGTGTAGGTCAAATAAGGTGGGTTCGAAACATCCCAGTCCTAAATATCATGATGTATGGATGAGCTTAATGAACTCAGATAGAGTCATGTATACTAATCATTTTTTAATTAATCTCATAAGCTTGGCTTAACTATGTATTTTAACTAAATTTAATTAATAAACTCATCTGCAGGTTATCTGGACACAGTATATAGATGCAAATATTGTGTTATTACATGAAATTTATTTTGAGAGCTTGGACATTTGGACTGTATGTGTTCTAATAAAAAATTGGAAGCATGTCGAGTGGCACCATCTAGATTGTGTTATGTGTCATTTCTCAAGCACCTAGTCAATAAACATTAAACCCATTGAACAAGGTTTTCAGAAAGTCGATGGACAAGGTAAAGTAGGACTTAACTTGGAGCAACATCATGGTAAATATATACAGCTATGGAATACTCATCGGACACTTATTGTGCCAATAACCCCAACAGAAGGAGACAGAGAGGAAGAATTATATATTTATTTGCATACGTATCAGTCTTGGGCTTCGCTCTACTTAACAAAGCCTCAAACTCAGTGTCCTTAAACCTATTATGCATATCACTAAGAAAGAGAATAGTAGTGAATTTTGAATTTTTTGCAATCCTTTATAGCTACTACTATTTTTTTTTATTATAATAACTAATGATAATATGAAATTACCAATTGTATAGCTGGATTCCCTTATTCGTATCAAGAACACAATCCAAAAGATATGGAGGGTATCGTGGAGCAAGTTCTAGTTCCATGAAAATAAGGTTATGACGAGATTCTTGAGCTATCACGCAGAGTGGAAGAATTAGTGCACATTGATTTTACTACATTTGATCGGCCAGGTCAATATGATTTTGAAGCAGGGACGTCTCATAGCACAAACATCAGACTGAAGGGCCTCGAAGATCAACCTTTGATGCTCCATGTCCGTCATATTCCTATGCTGCGAGGCGATCAACAACAGATGCTCCAAGGGGATATTTTGTTAGTAGAACACAAAAATTTATGTTTCAAAATGCAGATAAAAAATATCGAGAAAAATCTGCTTATCTTACTCAATCATATTTACGAAACATTCTGATTATGCAGAACCCTCTAGATATGCAGTAACATCAGTATTTGAGGTTCCATCATTTTACCTACAATGGACAACCACTAGTGGTGGAGACTTAGATTTAAATTTTCAAAACATTCTCTTATCTGCGTCTATTTCTGATGTAGGAATGGATTTCGGTACACCACAATTCTATTCTCCACTAAATCCCAATGAACAAATTTATTGGATGATAGAGATGCTATGAACGACAAAACTGAGAGCAATGATATTGAAAAACTTGAAGAAAATCAGTTGCATCTTCGACCACTACGACCACCGCCTCAATATACACATGGCTCAGACGCTATTCCACGTCGACGTAAAAGAAGATAATATTTTTTCGGTTGATTTAATTTGATCAATTTATTCAATTAATTTAATTTGTTTCATTTTGCAAACATTTCAATTTGAAATAAATTTTACAAGTTTCAAATCTTCTTAGTTTATTTAGTTAATTAAATTTTATTTTTTTATTTCATTAAAAATAACTTAAAATTAATTTTAATATTTTTTAGTGTATAAAATAAAAAAATAATAATATTTATAATCTTATTTAATAGACAGCTTCTTAAAAAAAAAAAAGTTGGTGTCCAATTGCAAATTTCATTTTTTAAGGTGATTTTATTCATAATTTGGCGGTCTGAAACTTGATGAGATATAAATATAACGATATAATAATTTCAAAGCGGAGAATCATAAATTGGAAGATGTATGATCATTGGCTTCTTGTTATTTTTATATGATATGTCGTAAAAAAATTCTATC